CATCATCCTAGTTTAGAAACAGTTTTGATTTAGATTGTAGTAAAAGAAAAGATAAATAAACTAATAATGATTTATTTTTTTAATTAGGGTGATGGAGATCAGTGTTTTTGCATGTTGAAATCATCAGTCAGTCATTGATGAGTCCCATACCAGGAAGAAACGGCCGTCCAGTGCTTCCAGGTTTTTAATGGTGGTCTAACAATCACTGATTGATGGTTTCAATGAGCGAAAAAACACTAATCTCCATAACTCTAACTGAAAAAAGTTGTATAATGTGCTCATTAGTGACTAGCCCCATGAGGACATTCTCGGAGTTCTAGTGAGAAGACCTGACCACTGAAGTTCAACCATGTCTAGTATACGTAGTAACTACCGAAGACAAGTGGGTGAGGTCACGCAAAGTCCCTAGATTGATCGGAGTTAGACATTAACGCCGTTAAATGCCGGCACAGTGGTACAGAGGTTAAGTGTTCGCTCGTGAAACCAAAGGTCCTGGGTTCGAATCCTGCGAGTGTCAGGAGTTGTGGATGCGTGCTGTTGAAGAGTGCCATACCAAGACGAAACAGCCATACAGTGTTCTCAGGTTTTTTATGGTGGTCTGGTAATCACTGATTGATGATTTCAATGTGTAAGAACAAATCAATAGCTAAGATATGATAATTGGTGGCTTAATACTGTTGCGATTATACTTCAACAGTGGGGAGTTTAATGCATTCACATCCTCAAACTTCACAGAAATGACCAAGTAATGATAAGCATTTCGTATTGTTATTCAGGTCGGAAATTTGTTTTCAATCATCTAAAATCATTTCAGCAATTTATTTTACGACTTCATAAATTCAGTCGACTGAAAAACCACAATGTAAAAAAGACTTTTCTAGTAAAATAATAATTTAAAACTAACTTGAGACGGATCACTACGACTTGCAGTTTCCCACATAATTGTACCAAAACTGTATATATCTACTGGTGGTACAAATAATGTCTCATTATAATCTATAAAAGAAGAAAACTAGATCGAATGAATTTATGCTTACTGAAGAAATTTTTAACAGTCAAATTAAAATGATGCTTTAGAAAGATTATTAACATTGAAACTTCTCTCCAGTAAGTGATCATGTTTAAGGTATCAGGCGATTTGATATTCAGCTAAACATTACAATCAGTATGAACTCATAATCGAAAAACAAAAATACACTTCCTGATGTGTGACATTACCAATGATAATATTTATTTTTTTTCAAATAAAATTCTCGAAAATTATGAATAGTTTTCCCAACTTAGTATTTAGAATTTTTAAGATTAGATTAAAAACCCAAGTTTTCAAAACTCAGCAAATATAGTGATTTTGATATACTCGTCAGTTGATATGCTTGAAAACATTACAAGTTCAGATTACTCAGTAAACGAGAGAGAAGCAATGATACAGTGACAAGATAGGCTATCCTGATTCAATTGTCCCCGTCCCCGTTAACTATAACAAGAAGTCTTGATAAGGCGTAGAATGTGTATTCTACAAGCACACAGAAAATAAAAGATTCATAAGCACACAAATCGAGTTTATTAACACATAACAGAAACGTTCTCACGAGAGCCACAAAAATAGCATACTAAAAATACTACATTACCAATAAGACTCAAGGATTTTCCGAGTGGGAAATATAATCTCAAGGTCAACTGATCAGCCCACCACAAAATCCAAATTTAGGACCTTAATCAAGTGAGTTCTGGGGATCTGACCCCTCCCCAACAGATTTACATGGATTAAATTTTAGCAAAAGCTCTTATTAATTAGGGTTTAATATTCTCCGTGTCCAACTGACTAGTTTCTTGAAATGTTACCATAACTAGAATAGATAAAATTAACACAGACGATATTAGATCAGTGAATTTGATCCAACCTGTTAACGGGTAAAAGTTCAGTGTATAAGTATCTAAAATTTCACAATCAAGTCAGCAAAATTCCTCTGAATCAAAAAGGTTGATTATTATAATAAGTATTTACACGTTCAATAAGCAGTGTTCAGTCTTACGTTCAATGCTATTCATCAAGAATCATTCATTTTCAGTTCAGGTGTCAATTCTTTCAAAGAGCCTATGCTTTTAATTGACAGGATTTACTAAATTATTTAAGCAAAGTATTATTAATTCCTCTTTTGATGAAGCGGTTTAATTCTTCTGATTTTATCAATCAAGATATAAGATAATACTTGGAGGAAAAAATTTCATTTTCATAATATCAAATAATACAATAGTACAATCATATTTACAGCTGCTGTCTACTACACTACGCAACAATGAAATGAACGGAGAATACAGATGGAAAAGAGTTGTGAGCTTAAAGAAAATTATGAAGTAGAGTATATTCCTTCACTACCCACGTATATTAATGTAGAAAGCAATACAAAATAACCATCGAGAAGTGTATGATAGTCCAATCGCATGAATTATTGTCAGAATGTAAATGAGCTAAGTTTATCCGACACAAAACAGTGACACTGACAATCGACTGGTTTATGTATGCAGTGATATAGCAGAAGCCATAGGAATCCGAACATTCAACCCATAAATTATGTATTCAGAAGAAATTCCGTTGTAGTGAGTCATTCCATGTCTTGTCCTACTTGTCTTTTGATCTTGTCACCCATTCGTCGCTTGTATTCAAGTATGTGCATGCCTACTCGCTTACTACATGTCTGTCTTATTTTTGTCTGATTATAAATTCTTAGTCATACTTCATCCCTTGGAGTTGTCTCACTAGTCTTCTCTCATTCGCTTCATCCATTCATTCGTCAATTAGTTCGTTTAATTGCTTGCTCCCCGGGGCTCGCACGACGATCTTATCTTTGAGTGCTTGTGGTCCGCAGTCCCATTTTTGTAGTGTGCTAAAAATAAAAGAATCCAACACTTTGTATTTGCCTTCTGATTTATAACCGTCAGGCGCAATTTGGTGACGATTGCCTAGACGAGCTGATTACGAAGGCTAAGAACACGTTGAAACTGGCCACCACACCCTGTCCTTTCCTTGGCTGGATATTACTCGATGAAAGATGTTAAGAGATTTTTTATTATCACTATTAGCATTATTTTCCAATTCTCAATTCGTTTGCGAATTTTTTTCGTCTCTTTCTGTTAAGATTCCTCACTATCTAAATATTTACACAATTATTATTACGCAACGGCTTTAACGTTTTATAATGATTATTTTAAGTCTATAAATCCACTTTTGACCTACTGCTACTTCAAATGTTGAACTATTTTATTATTACACATTTTTCGAAACCATGACTCGATCAATGTTAGACCACCATTAAAAACCTGGAAGTACTGGACGTCCGTCTCGTCCTGGTATAGGACTCATCAATAGTGCGCATCTTCGAATCCTGCACCTCACAGGATTCGAACCCAGGACCTTCGGCACTGTGCGCGAACGTCTACCTCTGGACCACTGAGCCGTTATCTAGTGGTTTTAATGTCTAACCTGACCGATTCTCAGTTAAGTTCAACTTGTTCGAGTGTAGACAGTAACTTCCGAGGACTGTGTATGAGGTTGCGCAACTCCGAGAATTGATCGAAGTTAGACATTAACGTCGTTCGACGCCGGCTCAGTGGTTTAGAGGTTAGGCGTTCGCGCATAGTACCGGAGGTCCTGGGTTGGAATCCTGCGGGGTGCAGGAGTCGTGGATGCACACTGTCACTGATTAGTCTCATAACAGGACTTGACGGCCGTCGTGCAGTGCTTCCAGGTTCCTAATGGTGGTCTAAAATTGATCGATTCATGGTTTCAAAAATGTATAACTTAACAATCTTCACAACCCCATAAGGCATTTTGTTATTCTTACTACTATCAGTACACCTGGCTTCCGACTATCAACTTATACTATTACCTATTATGTGTAATCACGTAATCTATTTCATTTCATTGTGATTATTGACTTATAAATTGCCTTGATTGGTTTAACATTTTCATGTTAAATATTCATGTATATTGGAGTAAGGCCTGGCGACGATCTAATTGATCGTCACATTAAACAATTGCAAAGTGTCATAAAAACATTGTGAACCTGCCTTGTCTTCAACTTCTCTGAGAACTGAGAAAATACAATACATTAAAGATTACTTAGAAATGATTTTGCTTTCCTAGATTGAGTCAACTTCTTTCGTGTCATTACACTCACTGTTCATTATGATGATTATATATAGATATATCATAAAACTCTTCCAAAAACATGATCACTTACCTCTATATTCCGGTGGAATATATGGTAAATTTTCTGGTTTGTCTAAAAATGTTTTATACTTTTGAAAATTATTTGACCAAAATAAACTATCCAAACCGTAATCAGTGATTTTACATGTCCATTTATCACTGATTACACAATTCGATGAATTCAATCGACCATGTACAATTTGATAATTATGTAAATAAGATAAACCATTAGCGAGACCAGTAAGAAAACCTATTCTATTGGATATATATTGTAAAATAAGAATGTAAATGTTTATACAGAAATTAAAGTTTATATCACATTCATATTCGGTTTAATTAAATGTCACTGTCTAACAATGATTGATTGATGATTTCATATGTGTAAAAAATAACTAATCTCCATAAGTCTAATTGGAAAAATATCGTAAACTGTGCTCACTAGTGACTAGCATCGTGAGGAAATTCTCGCAGTTCTAGTTGAGAAGACGTGACCAGTGGAGTTCAACCCAGTAACTAGCAAAGACAAATGGGTGACGTCGCACAAAATCCTCAGATTAATCAGAGTTAGACAATAACGGCCCAGTGGTCTAAAGGTTAGGCGTTCGCGCACAATACCGAAGGTCATGGGTTCGATTCCTGCAAGGTGAGTTCTGGGGATCTAACGTCCCCAACACTTATACGCTCCACAATCTGATCCTTATGATGAGTAATTTTCTATTCAGAATATCAATGATAAAATATCTCAAACAGTAATATTCATGTATGTTTCTATCATTCTGATTGCTGTAAACTTATAGCAAGATCCATTTTTGAAGGCTTTATTTGTGAAAATCCCTCCATGTATACATTTGTGATTTGTCCTTATTGATTCCTTCAGTTCTACATTTTGTTAATCTGTTCGATTCCATTTTGAGATGATAATATTTGTATTTTATTATAGTTTCTATTTCTTCTGCCTTTACTGAGTTTCTATGTTTCTTTCTGAACTGCATTACGTTGTTTAAGCTGATACTTAGTCATGGAGACCGCCATATTGATTTGTTCCTCTTTTGATTGGATTGCTTGCTTTGACTGAAATTGTGCATTCTGATTGTGAATTGAAAACACTGTGTTATAAAGCAACTAAATATTATCTTTTGAACGAATCTGATCTATCCAGAAGGGATACAATAACATTTATTTGTTGCTACTGATTTTATTAATTGAACAATTTTTGTTGGAACAGCTGAGTGATAATACTGTTTAGGTGTATTGATGTATACTTACATTCATAATGAATATAAGAACTTTCATTTACCCAAATCACTTGTTTTGATTTCAAATGGACAATAGTGCCTACTTAAACTACTTAAACAGTTATTCATCAGTCTAAACCTCAGTTTGGTTCCTACACTTATATCAGTAATGAATACATTCCATGTAGTTATGTACGAAAGCCATAATCCAGAAGATACAAGTATTTATTAACAGTTTTCTTCGCAAAATACTTCAGATTCGTTGGCCAGACACTATCAGCAACAACCTACTGTGGGAGAGAACAAACCAGATTACAGAGGAGGGGGAAGTCAGGAAGAAGCGGTGCAAGTGGATGGGACACACACTGCGGAAAGCACCTAACTGCGTCACAAGACAAGCCCTCACATGGAACCCTCAAGGCAAAAGGAAAAGAGGAAGGTCAAGGAACACATTACGCCGAGAAATAGAGAAAGATATGAGAAGAATGAACAAAAATTGGACAGAACTGGAAAGGGAAGCCCAGGACAGAGTTGGTTGTAGAAAACTGGTCGGTGGCCAATGCTCCATTGTGGGGTAACAGACGTAAGTAACTATGTAACTAGTGTAGTTATGTGACAGATATGCACCGTAGTAATTAAGTTCTAACATTATTCCAGTTTTGTCAGAATATTTAAGAAATATATATTCTCTGTTCTTTGTATGCTTACCTTAAACTCCAACTTAATGGGATTGAATCACGTCGTAGTACATAACATAAACTTCCTCTATCACAAAATTCTGTATACAATGATAGGACAGGTGATATAAATGTAATCCCAATGAGTTTTACTAAATTGTTATGTTTCATTTTTCTGTTAAGTACATAGGGAAAAATAAAATAACATTGATTACAAATCTTTGACTGTTAATTCAAAACAAGCAGCACATTCAGAATGCAATGTATGTTTCGTTCACCAGAATACAGAATACAAAATACTCAACTGTTTACTTCGCTTCAGTGCATCCCTTCTATAAAGTGATTCCATTAGTTTTCGACATTATACATCATTAAACCACATTGTTTTGAATATTTCTGCTTTAAAACGAAAACACCCAGTTCTGTAGTTTCACATCATTCCCCAAATAAATGTCATGAACAATATTCACTGACGTTAGTAAATGGGGATTTTTAAAAAAAATCTTGCATTGACCCAGAAATGCTTCACTTGAAGTCACCGGATGCAAAATCATGTAACTTAGTGTGTCAGCATTACTAACAAGTCACAGGTTAGGATAAATCAGCTATGTCGTGCTCTCTTGTTTCAAACTGATTCTATTCTGGTGTGAGCCAGTAACGAGAATAGGATTTCTAACTGAAAACGTTCTACACGTACTTTAAGCTTATAAACGAAGGAGATAAAAAAATCAACCTAACTATTTTTCGATACAGTATTTAGTGAACAACAGCAACTATACACAGGATAAGTGAAAACTACAATCTGTTCCTTAGGAGGTGTCTTAATTTCTAAACACCTTGCCTTTATTTGACTGATAATAGGTCAAGTCTTGGCTCTTGCAGTGCAATGTTTACTGTATATGATGACGTAAGACAAAATTGGGTCACGTTCCGTCAAGTTATTTTGAGGAAAATCCCCATGACAAATTGACATCAGCCCAAGATTCCAGGTGCACTAGATCGTCACCTATTATACTCTGTAACTTATTAAAAGCATTTATTAAAGATCTTACATGAGAGTGTAATGAAAGTCATCGGGTCCCGATCCCGAACCAATGACTGTCAATCATGTGGTCAACAATTCGCACTTCAGTTCACTTCAAACAAATAAACTCAAACTATTTTTCAATTATTTCAACTTACTTCACTTCCCATAGTTGTTTTTCCATATCACTTGTTAACTCAGTAAATTCTACACAAACTTGTTTCATTGCTACTGGAACACTGTCACTAAAAATTTTAAGTGTAAATTTAAAACAAAATGGTTTTTATTTTTATTTATTTTAAACTGATCAAACAAAACTCAGAAATTATGAACTATTAGATGAACGTTTCTTTCTCATCTTTACACAACAATCAAAGTTAACAAATAGAGATTTATCAGTAATATTACTGAAGTACTTTTTTAAACTATTCAAACATCTGACACAGGTTAGTCACCTTGACAATCTAGTCATTTCACAAACTCATCCATTCTGATGTGCGTTGAGAATGAATTTAAGATCGATAAATTTTAAATAAAATTCAATAACAATGCATCAAGCTATGATAGTCTGGATGAAGCTGTAGTGCGCGTACATTTATGTCGAGCGCATGAGGTTGTACCAAACTTCGGGAAAACTAGTTAATCCACCCTGCTCGAGTTACTGTTCACTCATCTTTTGACCTTGTCAACTATTTCTATTCGAGTGTGTGTGCATCGGTTGCTTCGCTTATTACATGTCTGGTTCAATTTTGCCGAGTATCAACGCTTAGTTATACTTCATCCTATGGAAGTTAGCTCACTAGCCATCTACACTTCACTTCGCTTTGCACTCACGCTTCGTATTCTCATATCTGTTTGCATAAAAGATTGCTTCAAATAAACTCACCCAACCGAATCTACACTTTGATTCTAACAAACAAGGTTCGCCTAATTGTGATTTACGGGAAGTGAATGAAAATTTATTCCAACGCATACTAGATCATTTTTAAATATCGAAGTTATCACGGGCAGCTAAAATAGTGTGAACACTGCTTTTGATTCAATACATCCGTCATAATGGTGAGCCCCAAGCCTAATTTAACGTAGCCCACTAAAAAGTATACAAACTATGGACATTAACCTAATTTTCAGTCTAGAATATGTCTCTAACTATTATGTCACTTTAAACCAACACCATTCAACAATCATGATTCACCAATCCAACTACATTAATTTCTGACTAACTCCACAAAAGTCTAACATCTGAGTTTTCAAACTTTTCTATTCACAGGTCTATTTATCATGAATTATTCTTATTACATCCTCAGGTGTAAGGTAAATGACAGGATAATCAATCGATCAAATCAGAAAATAATAACAATTGAAATACTTGTCCTTAAAATACAACTAACACTTTGACATGCTTTACATATTTGAAGTCATCAATCAATTATTGTTAAACAGCCATTAGAAATCTGGAAGCACTTCAAGACGGCCGTCAAGTCCTAGTATGGGACTCCTTATCGGCAGTGAACATCCACGAATCCTATACCTCACAGGATTCGAACCCGGAACCTTAGGTCTTGCGCGCTAACGCCTGACACCTGGACTAGTGGGCCGGCATACAACGGTGATAATGTCTAACTCTGATTGATGCTTCTGCATAATTCACACATGAATTTCGCTCTTGATGAGATTCATTTTTTGTGAATAGTAAATGAAACAAAAAAAATTCCAAAATTGTTTGCAAGTGATTTAAGTAACAATGTCTTTCAAAAAAATATGAATTTATCAATATTATTGTTATTGATTCTACCATGTATTTCATGTATGTTGCGCGTGCACGTAAACACGTCATTTGATATCCTTGAACTATTACTAGTTTACCCTAGTCGGAAAACGAGAGCGAGGATCGAGGATCCGGCAACACGACAAGCAACTCTAATCTGAGCGTCCCAAACCCCCATATTGCGTAAAAGAAGAAGACTTGAACATGTATTCTACAAGCATCCAGAAAGTACGAGGTCCGGGTCCAGAAGAAGGTAAGGATTCCATACTAAGGATCCGTGTCCGGGTCATAAAACGTTACTGATAATGCGTATTTATACAGTTAGGTCAAATAGGAAACAACATTTGAAGTACTTGACATTGATAGTTAAGACGACTAATAGGAACTGACCAATACAATTAGACTTAAGATATTGGATAAATATCCTAATAATATATAATGTGGAATAAAAATATTTTATCTTTCTAAAATTTAAAAAACAAAATTTTCACATCAAAAATAACTTACATCATTTTAAGTGAACAATTTGTTGAACGTGAAAGAAACAATTT